CTTGGTTTGCAGCTCTGCAATCGAAGGTCAGCTACATTTGATGACTGGCGTTATTAAAAATAAGGATCTAAAACTCCAGGGATCCCAGCTCAGCTTTTCAAACACTGACAGCCGTAAATGTCCCTTTGGGCAGCTGGTTCTGCTGAGATCAGTAGAACCCCACCGAGGAAAGAAAATGCAGGAAGTTGTGTTGCAAGGAAATTTCATTTTAATTGTTTGGGCCGGTGTGTGTGGTGTGTTAGGTGCATCAGTGGGTTGTGGAGAACATTAAGAAATATGGGCAGGAACAATTCAGGAGGCTGCGCTGTGCCACAAACCAAACAGAAACAAACAGGAAAAAAAAAAAAAAAAAAGACTCAGGGTTAAGACACCTCCTGGACTGTTCCTTGCACCTCTATGCCCTTTCTAGCTGATACCTCTTGACAATTTAATGGAGGTTGAACTTGGGTGTAGGCAATTCCTGTTTCATTTATTCACCCCTTGTCCATATTTAAAAACAACAAACATATGTGTTGAATTTTACCTGCTCTATCTCTGTCGTCATATTTTAAGAACATATGTCTTTAACAGCAAGTAACCCAACATTTTATTGTTCAAACAAGATAGCAGAGACATTCAACTGGGAGGTCCTTTCAAAGATTCAGTAATCCCGATGGCCTCAAAATAGAGGACTTGGCTAGTAAACCGGAAGTGGGAAAATATAAACAATACCCAGCCTGCAACAAATCAGATAGAATAAATGAGAAATCAAATCAGGAATTTAGAGTTAAAAAGTGCACTGGCCTCCAGTTCTTATTTAGAGACCAGTGGCCTCCTGGTTTTTATTTAGAAAGTAAGAGTAGGGATACTATGGGCTCTAAGTCGGATCCATCCACCTCTGGATGCCTTGTCTTTCTGATTCATAAAATATGAGGTTGGGTAATGGGTCCTTTTCAGTTCTGGACATCTAGGCACAAGCAGTCCTGTGGAAAAACTATTGTGTACTCTCAGGACTCAGGCAAAAAGCAGGCTTATCTACAGCAGAGGGTCACCAAACTTAGCCATCTAGTGAGTAGCTTATCTGATAGGGACATGTTAACTTGTGTCCTTGTGTGTATTGAAAAATCCATAGCATTTCTAAGAGTCAGAGACATATTTTACAGTCCCATCCAATATAATGAAAGATGCTGTCAGTGCACTGATTTCAAAATTTTAAAAGAGAAGGTTTGTCTGTCTGTCATGCAAAATAATAAATGAAAAGCTCAGACTCCTCGGGCTTCTACTGCAAGAATGATTTTTCTTCTGGAACAAGGAAAGAGCAGCGACCGGGGTTTGTTTTGTTTTGTTTTGTTTTTTTCACAGACGTGCTCAGCCATCAGAAAAGCTTAATAAATCCCTATTTAGTATGCATTTATGCAGTGATTACATGAACTTTGACCTCTGAAGAGCTGTAGCAATTAGCTTCAGTGTCCAGCATCTTCTCCCACCATCCCCCACTGGCTTCTTTGGGTCTTCCTTTTTCATCTCAGTAATTCGTGCACTAGGAGAGCGTAAAATTTTAAAGTTGACTTTCCACCTGAGGTATTTGCTCCTGCACAAGTCAATTCCCCCTCCTCACCCCTCCCAATCCTGTCTAAACAGCCATTTCAGATGGATATTGGGGCTCTGATTGTCGATATTACTCAAACGCAAATGGATTTCAATTCAATCCTGCCCTGTACTTTCGAAAAGAAGATAAACTCTAATGGCCCAAAGAGCTTCATTTCATAGCTCGTGGCATCTGAAATAAATCGGATCCCTTCTGTCAGGCTAATTTAATGTTTTTTAAATATTCAATGTAATTTATTTTAAGTCAAATGAAACCTAGTGGATTGGCAGAAAGCTAAAAGGAGGAGGCAGGAGAAGGGCAGCTGGAAGCTCCTCTCCCTCCTCCCCCAAAACAGAGCCAGGAAGGGAGATGAAAGTGTTTTAACTTTCTAGTAAACACTGTTTAGCAAAAGAATAATAGGAAAGTTGCCCCTCTCCCAAAGAGGGATGGAACTATAATTGTTGCCTTCAGCGGAGAGCTCAGATAAACCGCTGGGACTCATTCTAAAGTGACCCATCACTGCATTCATCTCTTCTTGAACTTTCGGTGAACCTGAGATTAAACAGGGGTGAGCAGCTAAGCAGTTTGTTGTTAGCAGCCTTTTCAACAACCCTTTCAGACTGAGTAAATATTGATCGGTTTGAATCTGATTGCCCCAGAGGAAAACACCACGGCATCTGAATAGCCTCCAAAAGTAAACTTTCAAAGGTGAAGCCGAGAACAGATCTTGGAGCCACAGCAAGATCTCCACACAGCCTAGTTTGGGGACTCCCAGAGTTCCGGGAGTACTTTAAATGAATGCGAGCGAAGAAAAAAAGAGAAAAAAACATTTGAAAACTGGAATTTTATATTGCATGTATCCTAAGTTCCACACTGAGACTCTTGTCCTTTTTAAACCTATCAATAAAATGTTACTTTCTGGTTTTCCTCTTTTGTCATTTAGTTACCACTGCTGTCATTTTTCAAGGCGCTAACCGTGCTCCTCAGAGACCAAAACAGAAAAAGAGAGACCTTGAAATAGGATGTGTTAAGCGCCTTTGATTTAATCGATTGGGACAACTACAAAGATACAAATGTTTTTCTTGTTGAAAGGTATATTAATGTTTCCTAAATGCATTGCTTATTAACTGATTTATTCCACGACCTAGAGAAGGCTTGGGATGTTTAGCCATAATTTATCGTCCACTCTCTCTCTCTCCTTCTGCTACATTAAAACCAGCACCTTGAAGATTGGAATCTCCGGGATTCCAGCGGGTCGGGCCCTGCTTTTAGATATTGAAATCTCGGCAGTGGCATGCAAATGACACTTTAACACATTAAAGTATTTGGAAACCAGCCATCTGTTTTGCTGTGTGGCCTTACACTAATAAACAAAAGATACTGTATAAGGCCAGGCGGGGGGAAATGAAAGAAAAAGTTGGCCCACTTTGAAGTTCTCCCCCATCCACTAGAGTCTTTTAGAAGCAACCCCAGAACCCAGGAGCCGAGGGGAGGGCACCGGGTGCCCTTGATATGGCCGCAGCAACTATGCCTGCGAAGTCCCGGCTTTCCCCCTTTGACAGGGAGGTACAGGAAATCTCATAGGTGCTCTAGGAGGCCTGTGAATTTCAAGTTTTTGTAGGATTTCCTCCCCCCAGACCCCAGCCCATCCTTTGTAAAACATCCTTGGGAGAGGAAGGAAGTCATATGTCTATATTTGTTTGTGATGCTGTTAATTTTCTGCTCTATCCTTGGGGCTAAATTAGAGCCTCTAAAAATGTGTGAAAGTAAAGGGAAATTGGTAAGCAACCAGTTGGAGCTCTCGGATTCATTGGCTTCCTCTGGTTGGGAGTAACTTGAATAGTGAAAGGCTTCAGGGCAGCTTCCACAAGTTCACCTGGAAGAACCTGTTGAGCCCAGAGAAGAAAATCAAAACTGTTTTCCAGGGTTATGTGACATGGAATTAAGAAGTGAAAATCCATCATAGCCATGATGGCTATGAAATCAAGCCTGAATCTGATGGAAATGAGACGTGTAACTTAGACGGGGTGGCAGGGTGTGGAGGGTGGCAGGAAGGGATAGATAGTGACAGGAGGGATGGGAGGAGGGATGCAAGGGTTTACTGAAAACAGACTACACTCAATTTAAAGGGTAGAATATATAGGAACACTGACAATCCACAAAGAAAGAAGAAGGGTGGGGTGGGGGTCCCCATCCTCGGACAGCTTTATACTGGAGCTAATTAAATGTGAATCTCTTCGCTCTTGGTTCACTGATGTGAGGAAAGACTGACTGAAGAGTTTCGGCTTTTGAAGGGGGTTCTGTTTATATATACGTCAACGTTCAGTTGGAGGTGAAAAGGTTAGCACTTGACCCAGGAAGTACCCATGTTTGTTTCAAAAAAAACATCGGCTTTATAAAATTCTTCACCAATTTTTTCCCCATTATGAACTTTGATTATTATGATAAGGGAACTACTGTTATTTTAAAGAAAAGCAGCCTATTATAGACATTGGTTAGGTGCAGTTACATTCAGAGGGGAACCTTCAACTACATAGTGGAAAGCACTTTTTCCCCCCCAAGAAAAGTCCCACCTCTTTGAAAATGCTGCCCCTCCTCCCCCTCCCCACACAAAGTGACCCAACTCTGTAGGAACCAAGCCAAATGCACGGATCCTTAAGCATATCTGAAACTTGAATATATTTATTACAGACATCTTAAGACCCGTAAACTCTACTCTGGATCACATTACTCCAGGATCTCAGAGCTGTTCATGATTGTACAGGAAATGGGGAATATCATAGGCTCACAAAGGATAACTGATAGAACTCAGTGTGGTACTTCGGGGACATCAAAACATTGTGCGACATGCAAAAGACTATTCACGAATCACACAAAAATATACATTCATTGTGCCATCCATCACATTAACAACTGAGCTGAAAGTACGCCGTATCCAGCTAAGATAACTGAAGAGGGGAAAAGCACAAAGTTTAAATAGAGTGTGGCCGGAGAATCAAGAAAGGGGCAGGGATGGGGGCAGACTTAAGCCCAGGCAGCAAGGTTTCTGAACCTTGTGGTCTGTAGGCCTTCTTAACTCACTGAAAGAACAAATCGAGGCTACCCTCTGAGGCATCCAATTCAGTTTAAATGAGGGCTTTTATTTTTTAACCTATAATCACATATAAAAGTGTACCAGCATTGAGAGTTTGCCCACCCTGTTTCAGTCGCTTCATCTAAAGATTTCTAGAAAATCTGTATAAAGATAAATCTCTCAGGACAAAGTATTTACAACCAGCAAACTCACACATGAAATTGAATTAAATTAAAAGGTGAATTAATTGTGTAAACACGCTCATAGTGCATCTCTTCTTCATGAGCTCCTGGACTCTCTCCTTTCTACCCCACTTTGAGGGCGAAGTAGGGGAGAACTGTAAATATACAGATAGATTAAAAAAAAAAAAATTGAGGCCTCCCTTTGACGTGTTTCTGCCAGCAAAGGAGACTATGTTCCAAGGGGCATCTGAGAGGAACAGCAGGTTCTGTGGAAATCTCCTCAAAGTAGGGGCCATCAGAAAATCGGTGCTGGCCCCCAATCTGCATTAAAGAGTTAACACCCCCCACCCCAAATCAAGCATCTAGTCCAGAATTCTCAGTAAACAGATTATCCTACCCAAGAGCTTCCCAGATAGCATCAGAAAGAAAGAGACTGCAAATGGAAACGAAGATAAGCTAAGAATGTGCTTTGAGTAAAAAGTCCCAGGCGGAGGAGTAGCCTGGGCGGCGGCGTCTGGGGCTGGGCCGCCTCAGTGGGAGGTAGTCAGAGTGTCCGAGGTCGCAGACCCCGGGGAAGGGACGCAGGGCGACGAGCTGGACTTCTCCGAGGACTCCTCGGCCTTCTCGCTGCCCGGCGGGGTGGCGGGAGAGATGGGCAAGAGGCCCTCCTTCTCTCGTTTCTTCTGCTTCATCCGGCGGTTCTGGAACCAGATCTTCACCTGGGTCTCGTTGAGCTGCAGGGACGCGGCGATCTCCACCCTGCGCGCGCGCGTCAGGTACTTGTTGAAGTGGAACTCCTTCTCCAGCTCGGTGAGCTGCTTGGTGGTGAAGCTGGTGCGCACGGCGTTGGGCTGGCCCACGTAGCCGTACTCTCCAACTTTTCCTGGGGCGGGGTGGGAAGCGACGGGAGAAAGAGGTCAGACTTTAACCACCGCTATGGGGTCCTCTGCAGGCTCAGAGCCAGACTCAAGGGAAAGGGGAGAGCGAGACTCTCTCCCCACGAACCCGGCTGGGGAGGGTGAGTGATGAGGTGTAAAGTGTTAACCTGAAGTCAACCATTAGCGTGGTCAGGCCGGTGATTAATGGAGCCTGGAGATATTACCAGAGCCACCTCAGGCGCGCACACCTACCCACTTCCTACTTCCAGAATCTCTAGATCTCAGCCCCTTTGGAAACACCACAGTCCCACAGACGCTCCTTTGCCCCCCAACACACACCTGGGCAATCCCCCAGTGCCCTACAACACCGGTGGGAAGCAAGGATTTTTTTTTTTTTTAATTATTCATTTTCCTTGGAAACTAAGCATACCAACTCCTTCCAGAATCGTCAAGGAACACCCACAGAATGGCAAGACTGACCTGTTTTGGGAGGGTTTCTTTTGACTTTCATCCAGTCAAAGGTCTGCGCTGGAGAAGACGTCTCTGATGGAGGGGAGCGACAGGCCTCTTGGTGGCTGGCGTGGAGAGGGGACAGGGAGTTATTATACGTGGCCAGGGCCAGGCTCTGGTGCTCTTGTCCATATGAGTGGTGAATGTACTGAGGCGATCCCACCGCGCCCCCGGCATAACCCTGGTGGTGGTGGTGATGTTGGACCATGGGAGATGAGAGATTTCCAGAGTAAACAGCGGGAGCGCACGAGGGGTACCCACCACTTACTTCTGCTTCCTGATTTAACGCGTAAGGGCTGTAAGGAGCGCCGAAGTTCTGCGCTCCGTAGCTTGGACCACAACTCGAGTGGGAGTATGACACCCCCAGGTTCCCAGGAGTCTGGTAGGTGGCCGGCTGGGGGTGGTGATGGTGGTGGTGGTGGTGGTGGTGGGGCGAGCTGATCTGCACCCCCCGGCCCACGAGGAAGCGGTCGTCGCCGCCACAGCTGTTGGCACTGACCGCGCACGACTGGAAAGTTGTAATTCCATGATCTGAGGGGTAGGCTCGCGCTGAGCAGGTCGCGGAGTCGCCACCGCCGAGGATGGGGTATTCCAGAAAGGAGCTCATTCTTGCATTGTCCATCTGTCACTGAGTGACCGGGTCCTGCGAAGCCCTGGGTGACCGTGCCAACTTTCTCACTTCCTCCATGGGGCCGGAGAAGAAAAATGATATGAATGTACAGTG